GTTGATACAGTCTGGGATAAAATTAGAGGACAAGATGTGGATGTTGTAGTACACAAAAAAAGCAGAGCTGGGAAAGAGAAGAAGGTGGATACACAGATAGTTGCTGACATCACTGAAAGGGTCTGCTTGACCCCAATAAAAGAAAGAAGCGCAATTGTTGTCGTAACAGGAGATGCTGACATGATACCCGGCATTGAAAAGGCTCTACAGTACGGATGGGAAGTGGAGGTTGCTATGTGGGAGCATGCAATGTCATCTGATTACAAGGAAAAAGAAGTTACAATAATAAATTTAAATAAGCACCTTGTGAAAATAACTTTCATCAATAGAATGTGCTCAATTTCTGACCTTAGTACTAGTGATCTAAATAAATCTGCTGTTGTTCTCAAAGTTCGTGAACAGACATTTGAAAAATGGCACTCTCCAAAAGATTGGTTTCCAGAAAAGGAATGGTGTGAGAAGGTGGAAGATTTAGCAAAGTGTAAATTTCAGTATGATTGGGCAGACTTTGAAGATTCTCAGGAAACGAGAATATTTGGGCTTGTTCTCTGTTTCGAAAAAGATGGAGGAAAGGATAATTTTATTGCTGAATACAAAGAGAAGGAGTTAGTCGCAAAGTTCATTATCAGTGTGAAAGAATATTGCTATTATACACTATCAATGAAGACTAGAGTCTGGAATGGTTCTGAGAGGGAGGTTGCCTGTTTGCACGAGATCAAGACTGAGCAGGAAGAAAATCCAGGACAAAATAAAGAAAACCGTGGAATAAAACGTTTTTATTCTGATGTAGTCAAAAATGAAGGTACTAAAAGTGAAGATAGACCTACTAAAATATCAAAAAATAATAGCTAGACTATACAGAAATGTCTGTTGCATCATTTTTGCTGAATTTAATTAATACAATGATAATTTTTGTTATTAAAATTGCGTTGTGATTGTTGCGTGGGTGTAATCAGCAAGGGCGTGGTGTTGTAGGTGTGGTTTATTTCAAGATTGTTTTTCTTTCTTAAGCTTTTCTGGGTCCAAATGCACCTCCACTTGTTCCTACAATGAGAATAACAAAGCAGGTAAGTCTACAAACACTAGTCTTCCTTCTCTTCTAATCTCCTCCTTCCTCCAGTTGCTCCATAAGACTGTACCATGTCCTCTTGAAAGACTGTCATACCTGGACCTATCATCAATGAGTATACGTAAGAATAACAATGAGGAACAAAGAGAGAGAGACATTATGATAATGCTGTTGGTGATCATTA